CTCTATGTTTACAAATATACGTTCTTGCATCTACTAGTAAATCTAAATTTAATGTTAGGCACTATACTACTTACACAAGACCCGATTTTACTTAAGTACTTGTTAATCTAAGGCTGAGGTGCATCATCTTACTTTAACTTTGACAAACGTCAAAAATCTGTCAAATTCCATACAAAAAACACCTGTTATCTTTATAGTTACGTTAGTTAGGTGGTGTAACTCAGCCTAAGAGTCCATGTTACGTTAAACGCGAGGCGTGCATCACTATTATTTCTACTACTGCCTTAATTTGATATACATACATATACTTAAAATCACTTTTTTCCCGGAAGGTTGTACCAAATTATCTATACCTAATGCATTGCAGGTTTGCTCTTATTTTCTTCAAGAACAAAAAGTTTTCAGGTAAGTAAATAATAATACATTAATTAAAGATTACCTTAGTCGCCTATTTATTTACAGAAATAATAAAATAGCAGAAGCTCTAAATTCATTCAAACTTCCATAAAATTAATGCTCGTTAGCTCTACTTAAACCAAATGTACACGTAAATAATAGGTAGTATTCGTAGAGGTTGTGTTGTTTAACTGAAAATTGCGGGTGAAGTTACCATCCGCTCCGTCTCCAGAATCGGCCCTCATTGTAATTCGTGGTTCGCCGTTCGTTCGTTGGAATCCAACTAAAACGACATAAACGAGGAAGAACAGCCAATTTCACAAAGCTGGTTTGTTTTTTTTTTTTTTTTGCTTCATAAGATTTTACAAAAATCTAAATGTGTTCTTTATGCTCGTGACTACAATATTTGTAATATAAATAAATAAATATCCTTGGACATTTCACACTGCGCCATATTACATTGGACTTTTTACATTTTATATCTCGCTCTCCTTAACTAGTACGACGTCTAAAATAAAATAAAAAAGCAGACCAAAACTTATAACAACCATTAGAAAGCTTTTAAACTGTGTGTGTTAAGTTAAGCGTCGGATTTTAAAGTTAATAATTTTAAAAGAATTTTCTTTCATAATATTCTGGCCGTTGTCTTCGCACTACGCTCGTATCCCGTAGATATTAAATAGCCACCACTTATCTAAGCAGCCGTCCAGATTCCAAATCAGCAATACTGGCTGTTTGATATTCAATTTAATTTTATTCGAGCCCACTGTGCGAGGCTTAATTGAATTTATGAATTACCGAGCCGAGCGTGTGCGGTCCTATTAAATACAGACATTATTATTCAACTACCAAAGCTATTAGAGCCAAAGCACACGATGTGTTGCGGCGGCGATGCGACGCCAGAGTGGTATCGCTGCGTCGTCTTCGTCCCGGTTCCACTAAGCGAAGCAAATAATTTTTTTTAATAACCAATCAGATTCCATTATTTGCTCATGTTCACTCCGATCTGCTTCGGTGGAAATGGATCGAGCGGAGAAGTGTAAGGCGCACTTGTTTTTCTATAGAATTTGACAGCGGCGTCGGTGCAGAGATGTGCGAAGCGGTGTGGTGTTTCATAGATAGCAATAGATTGACAGCTGACAGCAACGCACAGCTCACATATCTCCTCTTGTCCCCGTCACCGTTCCGCTCTTCTTCGCTCCACTTTGGTGGAAATAGCCTTCCAGCTTCACCGCCAACCGGGCCTTACATAGAAATATCTGTGGCGGGCACACGAGTGGTGCCCGCCACGAACGTTTGCAGTGTTTGCGGTGCGACGCCGCAACGCATCGTGTGCTTTGGCTTTAAGTTATGTCTGATTCACATTACAACGCTGGTTTTCTTTTAAGTTAATGCCTAGATTTTATGATCGTGAAGAAACATAAAAGTTAAATGATAACATCTTTACGCTAGCAAAGAAATTCAGCCCTGAGATGGGCTATCAAGATTTAGGTCTACAATTAATTCTTTCGGATATTTTAACGGCTTTACGGGAAAGATGTTTAAATTAATGTATAAATTAAAAGATCTTATCTTGAAACCGACTAGTCGATTGCTAGCGGAAATTTATTTGCTCATATTTGTCAAGAAAATATTCATTTTTCTGCATCTGCAAAAAAATAATGTACAGTATGGACAGTATTTCTATTTAAGTATTTGATTCTCCGAAGCTCAACAATATACATACGAGTACATGTTACAATTTATTGAAATTAATACGAGTAACAACAAAAAAATTAAGCATTTACTTATACAAGATACTTAGGTAAAATATTTTAGTTATTGACAGCCATCTTGTCTCAAGCGAACTCAACTTGAAATAAACAAAGAAAAATTAAATTCATAAGCCGATTTCATAATTTAGTCAAAATAAAGAAGAGTTTGCTGAAATTGAGGCAAAGTTGAATTTATTTAATTCTCATCTCAGTAATTCCAATTGGAGAAGCATTTAATTTTCATAGCTTAACGGGATCCTATTTCGCAGAAACCGATTATGGCTGAGCTACAACTCATTTGTTATTTTCTTACGATAAAAACATTTCTATTTTACTTATAAATATCATCGTAAACATTTCCAATAAGTATTTTATTTTGTATCTCAAGATTGAAGAATTAAACTTCTTTAAAATCTTTTTAAGTTCTTGCTTTTATATTATTCAGACAGTTTTGTTTCTTTCAAAGCTTTCTTAACGAATAATTCAAGATAAGTAGCATTTCTTGTTTTAATGACTCGTCTATTATGTGCCTTTAGATTAAATAGATTGATAAGTTAAATAAAAGTTAAAGTAATGAAGTAGCGAATGATCTTATCCTGGCAATAAACCTATAAAAGGAGAAAAGTTAAATATTTTATGGGCAGGTACACAATAACTTTCCAACTAATAATAGCGACAGCACATCTGACTGCGCATTTTTGTTGAATAATGCAGCACATTACAGGGTTATTATGAAAACTACAGCCTGTATAACCCCATAAAATACCATAGTGTTACTATTACGTACCTATCGTCGTCTGTACATGTACGACTATTCAAAGATTTTGTTCGCACTATAGATTAATAAAAAAACTATACAGCATTGTTGTGTTCCGGCATTTAGAGGTAAGATAGCCAGTTCCTCCGTGGTTGAGGATTCCGGGTGCAGCTCGCTTCCACCTTCGGCCTGATCGTCACTTGCCATCAGGTGAGATACAGGCCAAGAGCTTCTTCGTTGTGGTTAAAAAAAAAAAAACTAGCCAAATCGTAAATTCCAACATATTTATTCACGGAATATTCATGCACTAGTCGACTAGTGTTGTTCCAACGATCCGCTACCAGTCATTATTGGTATAGTAAAACACCGTTATTTAAATCCAATCGCATATTGACTGTAACCACAATTGATGATGACAATCATGTCTACAGATTTGTGAAATCAGTAAATATGTTGGTGTAACCGCAGCGGGTTATTGATTCAAATATTATTCATCTGCCTCTGGCAGTCGAATCACATTGCTCTAATAAACTCGGGTCAAAGACTCCTTTTAGAGGTCAAATAATGCAAAATTACATCGCTGTGTATCTGCAAAGAGACTTACAGTTTTTTTTAATACTTGTAGATCTTCAATTGTTGACGAGGACGACACAAATTACGACCTTTTGCCCGTGGCTTTTCATGCGTAAATTTCGGTCTTATTATAGCACAATGTTACTCTGGAATAACGTAGCATTCTAATGCTGAAAAAATATTTGAAATCGGTCCAGTAGTTTTTGAGTTTATTCGTCAAAAACATACATAAATACAAATCTTTCCTCTTTATATGATGATGATGATATACGAGTACTTAGCTTCCGAGTTGTTAGTAAGAGGTTTCATTTCCAAACGACTTGTAGTTGCGAATAAGTTTACCCTATTTTCAGTTTACTCTTAACCCTGCAACGAGAGATTGGAGTAGGTAGTGAACAAAATTACTTTTTCCCCGTTTGCTAAAGTCCTTGCAACGGGTACACATAGGAGACAGAGTCTGATGTAAAAGTTTTAAACTCTTCTAAGAATCAAATCAACTAAAATACATAGATACGAGAAGTATGTAAGTTTGTGAAGATCAAAGCTTAGATGTTGGTTACTCTAACTGGACGGATTTTGATGAAACTTCACTAGGTTATAACATAATATAAGATAAGAACATATTATTTACGAGTATAATACGGAAGGGCAATTTTTTTTTTCAAAAATCTAAAGCCTGGTCCGTGGGTACGTAGAATCCCGTCCAATGACCCCAAGCTACCCATCCCTATCGCTCGCGCGTAATTATGTTGCTGTCGCGACTATGCGACGGGCGCCCGCAGTGAGTGTGCGAGAGCGAGGGATGGGTAGATTGGGGTCATTGGACGGGATTCTACGTTCTCACGGACCAAGCTTTACACGGACGTTAACAAGTTACAAAAATAATGAAAATATGAGCTCCATTATACTGCAGGAAATTACTCACTTTAGGCTCTATAAGCTATTTAATCATCACCATCATTATGTCAGCCATAGGACGTCCACTGCTGAACATAGGCTTCCCCAATGACTTTCATAATGATCGGTTGGTAGCGGCCTGCATCCTGCGGCTTCCTGTGCTACCTTTTTGAGGTCGTCGGTCCACCTCGTAGGTGGACGTCCTGCGCTGCGCTTTACATGGCCTCCAGAACCTTGCTGCCCCATCGGCCGTCAGTTCTGCGTACTATGTGTCCTGCCCATTGCAACTCCAGCTTGCTGATCCGTCTATGTCGGATAATTGAGTTCGTTTGCTGATCTCCTCATTTCTAATAGTAACATGATATGACCTTAAAATAGTAAGACACGGGTCTTAACGCGACGTTTATTAATGAGTTACATTATGTACTCACGGCTTGTCGTTTCGGCTGCGATGCTGCAGCCGTGGTCACAAGCAGACTGGAGACGGCGGAGTCTGAGTCAGAGTCTGTAATGTAACTCATTAATAAACGTCGCGTTAAAACCCGTGTCTTACTATTTTAATTGAAATGGAACGCGAAAGTTTCAAATCTTATATGATATGACCTTATTCCTCTTGTCCACAGTCCCAGAGCTGGGAGGCTTGGCTCGCCGCGCCGCCGGGTGCTCCAGTGCCTTCTCCGCGCCCTCGCCCTCTGCTCATCATGAACCAGGTAAATCAATGCCTTTCAGTGTGGTATTAAGTGAACAGATTGAAGGAAATGCCGAATGGAAATATTTTCCCAAGTGGACCGGAGGGAAATCGAACATTAACTTCGAACTATCCTATGGTCTTCTGATTAATTTTGTCGCGGGTCCAATGACAGTTTAACTTTCCCCCGGGACAAACTTGACCTTCATTTTTTGGGTTTTTGTGTTTAAAAAATCATTTATTTTAATCCTATATATTTTTAACTCAGGTATTTATTAACCTTTATTTTAGTAGGTACCTATAAATTTAGAAAACATTCATATTGTTCAATTTTATGAAAACAAAAAACACATCTTGTCGAAATCGCACAGTACAAATTTATAATGCGGTTTTCATCAATAAATACTTAGAGTGATCTGGAAGAGATCGCTTCATAGCGATAAGACCGCCTAGTTGTACCTTGTGTGTTCCTTTTCTTTCTGTTCTTATCTTTGGTGTGCAATAAAGTGTATTTATTATTATTATTATTACAAAATGTTCTTAGTTAAGAACTGGTGGTAAGTAATATAAAAATGTTCAAAAATTTAATTATCAATTCAATATTATGAAATGTATTTTACTGAACACGAATTCGGGCAACGACTATATTTCGCCTCACTGATTCTAAATCTATTGTTATCCAAATAACAATTTTGAACTAATAACTTAACCAAGAATGTTATACCTATCTTAGAGACGATAAACTTGGTACATACCTCCTTAACTTCGGCGACAGATAGTGTAGTAGGTCATGACGTCATGGATTATTTAATCATATCTGCCAACTTTAGGGATTCCTCAGAGAGTTCTATTGGAGTAAGACAAAGAATGAACTTGGGATTAGTGTCCGACCGAAACTAGTTTTACGACCGAAACCGAAACCGAAAACGAATTTCGGCAACAGTGTCTATTTCGGCCGAAACCGAAACCGAAACTTCCTTACAAGGCTCATAATTTTGAGGGAAAAATAAAGAAAACGTTATTATAATCAGTCAGTCTTTATTGTTTTCTCTTTAAATTGCATTAAAATTGAACTTATAAAGCGCCTTTTTACTCTAAAAAAGAAAAAAAAGGATTTATAGTCTAGATTTTTTTTAATTACTCGCAATATTCAGGACATCTACATAACCCGTCCCATGATCTGACCTTAATAATTTCTCAAAACAAAATTGGTAGTACGTAAGTTAGTATCTACTGTACTTGCCTCTTGGATACCTTGGTGATTAATACTAAAATGAACTTTGAAACTCTGAATCCATAATATTATCACCATGAAATGCACTATAGTCATTACTAACTACCTAACTAATGTTTGTTTACGTATAGCATTTGCGAACCAGAAAAAAAAATATAGGTTAGATTAAACTTGATTTTTTTTTAATGTTTACTACCCGCTCTTATGTTATAACGACATAAAACGAGATAAAACTCATCTAATTCAAAATAAATCACTCCAAAACTCGCCACCACAACAAAACAAAACTAACAGCAAACAAACAAGCGAGCGAATCACGACATTGCCTCTGATCGGATTCATTTACTCATTCAACGCGCCGAACATGACCGATAACGGCACGGAAACTCCCGAATGCACATTCGGTTTCGGTCGTAGTTTCGGCAAGTTTGCCGCCGAAAACGAAACTAAACCGAAACTCGTGTTTTTACCGAAACTCAACCGAAAACGAAACCGAAACCGAACATTCGGTCGGACACTACTTGGGATTAAGTAGTTTGTAAATCATAATGTTCATGTTGTGGAATTGGAATTTTCATTTGTGATTAAACAAGATTTAGTAGTGACAATGTAATATTATGTAATGAGGGTGTTCGCGATTGAATAATCCGCCAGATGGCAATACGTAGACGGGAGGTCCAAATGCTGCATGATTGGTGGATTTTGACATGACATTGACAGATATGTGATTATTCAATCGCGAACACCCTCATTGATTAAAAATTACTTGGTGGAAATATTGTACAGTCAAGTCAAGAGCAATATTATAGAGTCCGCTAAACTTAAAATTGATGATCTCTGACCCTACAACAATCCAGTAACAATTCAATAATTTTACAAAAGGGAATTAAGCCTGACCTGAGTAAACAATCACTACTGCCCTCAATGGGCAACAGATGCATAAAATCGAAGAGAACTGTCAATACGTTGCTTAAAATATTACAAATTTTTAAAAACCCTCATCATCATCTCAGCCATAGGACGTCCACTGCTGAACATAGGCCTCCCCCAATGCTTTCCATGTTACCCGGTTGGTAGCGGCCTGCGTCCAGCGCCTTCCTGCTACCTTTATGATGTCGTCGGTCCATCTTGTGGGTGGACGTCCCACGCTGCGTTACTAACTCAATGATAAAACTGTTCATTTGAAAGACTTAATGTTTAAATTACTCCCTTATCAACTTACTACTTACTTTTCGAGCAAAGTGAAAAATAAGCACCGGCAGTTCCCAATTTAGCAGCAGACACAGCCCTAGCGTCGAAACGCCGACAGTCGGCTAAGTAATTAATTCTTTGCAGCCTCTTTGAATAAGTCACTCCAACTTAAAATATTAAACTTGTCTTTTAACATTTAAAATCTTAACTCCATTAATTTGTTTTGTTGGCTTAACCTCGGATTAGTGTGACGCTCGCGAATCCAATCAAGCAAAGTTCGAGCACAGAGCTAACAAGTCTAACAACTTTATTACGAAAGAACTGAACAAAGTGGAACGAAAATATCTCGTTTCAAAGTTTTTGTGCTCTTTGTTAAAGATAACTTCGTGTTACAAGCTGGTTCTTTTGAATCTAAACGCTGGAGACACAATAGCGTTGTTGGGATTCAAATTATGAGCGACACTAGATTTAAATTGAGCTCAATTTGTAAGACGTAAATGTAACAATCTGAGAAGTTAAACTAATGTAAACAAAACCATAATAAAACAAAGTCTCTCTATCTGTGCGTTTATATCTTTTAAACTACGCAACGGATTTTAATACGGTTTTCATCAATACTTATCATGATACTTAGAGCGATTCAAAAGGCTTTTTAATAAAATTTAAATAAATTCTATTATGATAAGCATTTACCTAGACTCGAACTAATTATCCAGACTAATTAATAAATATTATTTGGATACAAAATGGCTATTTCCCCGTGCAATTCTCATGCTCATCACACTCACATTTAGCAAGTTTTCGAACCCACTACCACAGCCGGCGTTAAAGTCGTATAATAAAATACTAAAATAAAAAGATATCAGTCACATAAATCTACATCCGTATTTCACGGAAAACGTTGAAGTAAAAGCAGACAAATCGCAAAGTTCAAAGGCCGACGGTGTTTTAGATTTTGTTTATCTCTTTGAGAGATGAGGATACAGTAATATCCATCAAGAAAATAAAATAATAACCGAGAAAGCAGCCGTAATTTTGAAATTTTCCTTGTGTGGGCACATAAGGAAATTTTCAAAGTTTATTTAGGAAAGTTTCTGGCAGTGTATTTGTTGATTTGAGTATCTCGCCACTATTTGTTTAACCTTCAATGAATTTTGTTATAATATATTCGTGAGTAAATGGGTTATTGCTTGTTTTGATAGAATATTCTGTGGTTAGAGTAGTAGTAAAATGTCTGTTGATTGAGTAAATAATGTTTATAAGAAGTTATCTTCACTATTATAAAGATTTGTTTATTTATAGGTATTGAATAGGCTCCGAAACTACTGGACCGATTTGAAAAATTCTTTCACCATTAGAATCCAAAATTATTTCTGATGAACATACATGGTACGAAGTTAGCCGGGTCAGCTAGTTTCTAGATTTACGGGTCCAATTCTATTTAAATCTTCACTTACCATCAGGTGAGATACAGGCCAAGAACTTCCTCGTTGTGGATTAAAAAAAATAGCCTGCTGAAGAAGACAGAAGTTAGAATTTAATATTTTAAATACGCGATTTAGCTAGCCTAAGAACAAGATAACATTCTACCAGTCAACCTCATAAACAAAGATCCATTGTTCCCATACCCAAGAGGTGGTGAGGCCTCTCAGCTGAGCTCCTATTTGCAATAAACACGGCCCGTGGTCCCGCAGCGGGAACTAGTTCCGAGACTTGTTTGCGCTTCCGAATGTTAAAACTGGGACTTGGTAGGGCTGCCACCTCACAACATAAATGAGACTATAAAAACTGGTTGTCCCAAAAGTGGCACGCCATTTTTTTTTTAATTTTTTACGTGGTACCAATACTTGAGACAGCTTAGCTAAAGACCTTTTAGATAAGAATACAATCCTTCTAAACGGGTCAATCAGGCTTCAATGTCATTAATAAACACTGCCCTTTTAAATATGTAGATATAGGATTTGACGAATGTTAATATTATGGCCACCTTACCACACTGATTGTTTGATAGGAATTTTTAATTTTATTTCAATTGAAAAATAGTATAGTTTACTCCGCCTAGATCTACAAATACATTCATTAATACTAAAAGTTGTTTCATAATACGAGCTAAAATTTAATAAAAGTGTCTCGCAACCCTAACCCCACGCCGCACGAAAAGGAAATCTTTCGTTACTCCGAAACCTTTTTAAACTTGCAAAAAGGGTTAGTCTTTTCTGAAAAAATCTATTAACATCCTGATGCTAGCAACCCTGACTTTTCTGTAAGTGGAGCGGATTTTCTTTGGTTTCGTACAAACTTTGAATTAGCAATAAAATCTTTTGAAAACTCGCTCGAGTTAATTATAGTAAAAGAAAGTCTTTATTCATTCGGTTAAATGTTTACGCCGCAATAAACTTGTTGTGCAGTTTTACTTAATTTTATGTTGGTGTTTGTTTCCGTCGGCCAGATTGGCATTAAAATTACTTCATTTTGAAAGCAGCCAAAGAACAGTAAAGCCAAATAACAGCACCAAATAAACGTACTTATTTCTACTTGCTTTTATTTTCTGTAATATTCAGTGTAGTGTATAATAAATCTAGTTATTCGTACTTATC